CTTCTATCATCAACCGCGGGGACCCCATACGGCGAGAAAGTTGGACGTGGTCTTTGTGGATCATTCTCTCTGTAACCTACATTGCTACGTCGTGGTAATGCATTGGAAGTTTGAGGTAATCGTGATGGCTTAATAGAGAATAAACCGATATCCCCTGTCTCGGTTGTAGTTTTCAGCATACTCTCAAAGGCTTTTGGTAACGAGGGCTGATTGATGCTATCTGGAAAGCTCCTGATTGAGGCTCCATTGCGTGTTGATGTTTTGTCAAAACTCGCTCTCTGTCGCATAGGATTGATCCCGCTGGGACTCAGTGAGCCATTGATCCCGCTGCCAAAACTAACATCACTGAACCTTCTTTCACGATCTATTGGCTGTCTTCCTGGTGGAACAGTTGCCATTGCGGATACATCTGATGTATGCCCAATGAATATGATTGTTAATGGATTGAGGATAAACTTAATGAAGGAATTAATTACTCTAGAAACAATCTAGAGAGATGGTATGCAGATATGAGGTAAGGTTAAAAAGAAGTGGCAGAAAGTGATTTGAAGCTGACCAAAAGATAATTCTCAGCCTGTGAGAGTCTGTAGATTTACAGATGATGATGAGAAAGAAAGAAGAGGTAGTTGAAGATAACACTTCTGACAAACAGATTGAATGGCGGAGGAGAACATTTGATCGTTGACGGGAAGTCGGTACTGTTGAAAGAGTGAAAGGGGAAGGAAAAGCACACGAGGATCGAGAATAGGTAGATGGGTGAAATCTTTATTGGGAAGGATCAAATGGGAGTGACAACTTCTAAATCTGGCCCAACATTTTATTGCCTCTCGAATTTCAAGACCCTTCGAAAAATGGATTCAAAGTAACGATAGGTCCTCGATATTAATCTCAAATTCCATAGGTAGTATTAAAAAATTGGTTTATATAGATCATCTCGACCTCATATCATATCATCATTATACAAGCACCTCCACTTGACCCTGTCAGGAAACTATCCGGAAATTCTGCTATGAAGTAGGTACTAGATATATCATCTTGATATCAAATCAGGATTTGAATATGTCAGGAAATTCTCTCTTACACATAATCTTGAGCTCATAACGTATGATCCTCTCACAAGACTTTCAGACACTGGGTGATATATCGTTCTTTTAAAAATTATCTTCCTCCATGAGACATTCAAGACATCTTTGGATCTGGCATTTTCCCTTTATCACAATCTTCTTATTGTGCTCATCTTTCGATGTCAGATATATGGTTATCATGAGAACCTTTTTATTCCTCCAGTTTAAGGAAAGTTTGAAAGAATTGCATTGATTATCTTATACCTTTTGCACTTACAAAAATGCCATCTCTGCCAGCTTTAAGACATTGCCATGATGAGTATCATGGAGACAGTGAAAGTTCTCTGTCAATCGGGATTTGTCAAACTCGAACGGAGATCTGCATTTGATGCAGGAAGGTTTTGTATCTATTTCATGGATAAAACACTTCTTGATGCTTCCCTGGCAAATGGAAGCTACAAAGGCTTCATAAAATATGTGTTTAGTGTGAGATATGTCTAAACTTTGACGAAGGTTCACCACAGGCTTTCCGACAGAAGACAATGCGTTATTCCAAATCTGTTAAATGTCCGCTGGAATCCAACATTGTTGGATGAGCCAATGTGTGTATTGGAATGGCTATGAATAGACTGATCAGCCATCCAATCTGAAGAACTGTTCCATTGTTTCAGATCACAAGGCATAATGGAACTCAAGATTTTTGGCTTACTCAGAATGCCCGAGTCATATTCATCAGTGGCTATCTATCCATAATTGGTGGACTTTCAAAAAAGTATGGATTTGTAAGTGAAGAAGCAAAGAGAAGGGGGCTGAACTCATCCTTACCTTGACTTACGCGCCTCGCTTGCCTCCTTCAGCTGGGGTTGACATTTCATGATGTGACAGCTGTCAATATCTACGTACATTTACATACATGATTCAAATACAGACGAGAGGTTCAATGAGTGTTAATCGTGCTGATAAGATGGCACCAGAAAGAGAGTTCATGAGATAGGGTTGGAGATGTATATCTTTCTTGGAGTTTAAAGTATATCACTCCTCTCCTTGAAGAAAGTCTAACCAGCTCTGCGGATCAATCACCTAGTAGTAGTTACCGACAGATCATCACTGAAGGCGGGGTTAAAACAGGGGACCAGATCCATCTTGAATGTTTGATAAACAATGCAAAGTCTCAATATTGGCGACATAATATGTGATTGATGCGATAAAAGCGATAATGATATGTTGTCCTTTACTCAATTTTGGATTTCTAATGGTCGAAATGATTCAGCCTGGTGTTATGTATGGGTTAAATTAGTCTTGGTACATCCTACCCATAAGGGATATTCGGCATAACATCGCTCTGTGAACCTGTGAACCTGTAATCGTACACAAAAATACTAAAGACACGCTGTTATCTTAATCACTAGCGGGAAGGCTGATAAATTCACAGTAGCCGAATCATCGAATAAAGGGAACACCTCTCCTCTTCTTCCCCGAATCAACACAGTCCATTCTTTCTTCCAACAACCACCTTTCTTTTTATTTATTTAATTAAGAAGACGTAAGTTTCCAATCTTCTCATAACTTGGGTTTCTAAAAGTTCCATTGAATCGGGATACTCTTATTCACACCTGCGCATCTCACACTTTCACATTGGCATCTCCCTCTAACGCATTGACACTACAGGCCCGTGAATTGAAATACCTTCAATATGCGTTATCTACAATGTGTTGCGTTAGCTTTTGCATCAGCTGCAATTGCTTCGGCTTCTGATGTTGCTTCCCTTACCAAGGAAACATTCCCAGATTTCATCAAGGAGAATGATTTGGCCCTTTTAGAATGTAAGTTTCTCTAATGTAATGCATTTGTCTCTCATATGAACCACCAACTAACACTTCTATCCTTTAGTTTTCGCACCTTGGTGTGGCCACTGCAAAGCATTGGCCCCTGAATATGAAGAAGCTGCTACAACATTGAAGGAGAAGAAGATTGCCTTGGCCAAGGTTGATTGCACAGAAGAAGCCGACCTCTGCCAAAGCTTTGGTGTTGAGGGTTACCCAACTCTCAAGGTCTTCCGTGGCCCAGAGAACATTTCTCCATATTCTGGTGCAAGAAAAGCCCCAGCGTGAGTAGAAGCATTCCATCGCCATCAATATTCAAAAACTAACAAACGCCTCTAGGATTGTCTCATACATGACCAAGCAATCTCTCCCCGCCGTCTCAGTCTTGACTAAGGATACATTGGAGGATTTCAAGACTGCCGATAAGGTAGTTTTGGTTGCATACTTCGATGCTGAGGACAAGACCTCGAACGCTACCTTCAACACAGTCGCAGAGAAACTCCGTGACGATTACCTCTTCGGTGCCAGCAATGATGCAGCTTTGGCAAAAGCCGAGGGTGTTAGCTTCCCATCCGTTGTTCTTTACAAGTCATTTGATGAGGGCAAAGCTATCTTCCCAGATGCTTTCGACACTGAGGTTATTGAGAAGTTCGCAAAGACTGCGTCTATCCCATTGATCGGCGAAGTTGGCCCAGAAACATACGCCGGATACATGGCCACTGGAATTCCATTGGCATACATTTTCGCTGAAACCCCAGAGGAGAGAACTACTCTCGCTGAGGCTCTTAAGCCAGTCGCAGAGAAGCACCGTGGTGCCATCAGCTTCGCAACCATTGACGCAAAGGCTTTCGGAGCTCACGCTGGTAACTTGAACCTCGACGCTGACAAGTTCCCTGCTTTCGCTATCCAAAACACTGTCGACAACAAGAAATATCCTTTCGACCAAAGTGTAGAGATCACTGAAGCTTCCATCAACAAGTTCGTTCAACAATACGTTGACGGAAAGGTTGAGCCAAGCATCAAGTCTGAGCCAATCCCAGAGAAGCAAGAAGGTCCAGTTCAAATTGTCGTCGCTCACAACTACGATGACATCGTTTTAGATGACAAGAAGGATGTTTTGATTGAGTTCTACGCTCCATGGTGTGGACACTGCAAGGCTCTTGCACCAAAATACGATATCCTCGCTGGCCTATACGCTGATGCCGGTCACAATGACAAGGTCACCATCGCTAAGGTCGATGCTACTCTTAACGATGTTCCAGACGAGATTCAAGGTTTCCCAACTATCAAATTGTACAAGGCCGGTGACAAGAAGAACCCAGTTACCTACAATGGTAGCCGTAGCATCGAAGACTTGATCAAGTTCGTTAAGGAGAATGGCCAACACGAGGTTGAGGTTACCTATGATGAGAACGCCGCTGCTTCTCCAGAGGCAGAGAAGCCAATCGCTGAGTCCTTGGCCAAGCAAGCAGAAGCCGCTACTGAGTCTGTCAAGAGTGCAGCTGAGGAGGTTAGTGAGACCGTTTCCAGCAAGGTTGCTGAGGCCACTGAGACCGCAGCTGCTGTTGAGGATCATGACGAGTTGTGATTTAATTTCGAAAAGAAATTTTGGGTTTCTTGCGTTTCATGTATCTGTAGCTTAATCGCAACAGATATTGGGGTTGGGGTTCTTTAAATTGTTAAGGCAATAACATTGGAGCAATACTGGAGCAAAATGCGAATTTTTTATATGATTATCTGATTTTTACTCGTGATTAAATTATCATTTGAACTATGTAGATCTTTCTATCTTATTAATGACCTAGACACTGGGTACTTGTTAAGGTTCTGCTAAAATGTACACCAGAAGTGATTTGATTGATTGGTGCTGTAAATCGTGAAATCACCCCGCATCTGCTTTAGCCAAAAAATATTCGCGCCTCAGGAAGTTAGTTGGTCGGCCGGGGAAAGCTCCAAACAAAAAGCTTAATCTTCAACATAACATACGAAAGAGGCCGCTTAAAAAACTCCGCACCACGACGTAACAAAGCAATTGACAGCATTTTTGATCGACAGTACATTTTCATACTATCAACCACGATATTACGAATCCGAGACATAACATTTAAGTACAATGGCATCGCGCATCTTATCACCAGCAAGCGGAATGCTTCGCGCACCAGTAATGGGAGCTACCAGAGGGTTTTCAATGAGCGCGAGGAAAGCGGCTCAGATCACGGAAACTCCTTTGCCAGTTAGGAAGCCGGTTGGGGCCTTTAGAGGAGGGTGAGTTAGGAATTTTCTTGTTTAGGAGGCTGGTTTTGGTGTAGAGGGAAAACATGGGAGGGGAGGGGTCTAGAGTTCGGCGGGTTCGGCGGGCTCGGCGGGCTCGACGGGTTTGAGGGAAAGAGGGGAAAAGATACAGAAATTGATACAGCTGGATGCGGACGAAAGCTAATTTGTATGGGGATCTCTAGATTGACTGGCTTCTTGCTCGGATCAACGTTAGCCGGTGCGGGTGTTTACTATTACATTCTCGAGGAATATAAGGTTAGCAATGAGTTGTTGACAGAGGATATTTATGTGAGTTTTATTTATCTTGGATCATTGCTATTTGGTTTGGAGGGAATGATGTTGCGGGCTAAGAGGGAGAGGGAGGATCTGATGATAAGAAGTGGATTGTATGAGAACAAGGCTAATCAAGGCACATTACAGAGTCTGCAAAATTCAGTACAGAGAGTTCACACATATGTTCAATCGCTAGAGGAGAAGCTTGCAGATTTGGAGAAGAAGAAGAAATAAATCAAGAGAGAATATCAGTGGACAAGAAGGGATTGGAAAGGCGATTGCAAGAAAAAGGCATAGTGCGGGAAGCTAGGAAGAGAATGCAAGCGGAAGGAGATCGTGTATAATATCCGAAATGCGATGCGATGAGTTGATTTGATGAATATCTTTGCGAGCTGTGACCATAATGCTAGGTTTATAGGGAATAAGAAACATCTCCAAGTACCTCGATATGGTTTTACGTGGTGGGGTGTGTGCGAACTCAAAGAAGCTTCTTTAGAGCAATGTAAAGCTTTGAGTTGTAATGCTGAGATATAATTTTGACTGGATACCATAAATACAGCTTCAGCAAATGTGTTGTTTATTTATTGTTTTAACTGAAAGTAAAAAATTCGTCCTCATATTCCATGACTTCCTTTTCTCGCAAAACCTCACCATTCACACTATTCAGCCTCGCCTCGCCCTCTAGAAACAAAACCTCACAAACTTTCCCATCCATTCCCTCACGTCTTTCTGTACACTCTAAGAATCACACACCAGTATGAATTTCGGCGTCCTTGAAATCGCGCCCTCAAAATACGTTCCAGCCCCAGGCTACGCATATGTACCCGATATATCCAACACGCCGCAAATAGGATTGCAGCCTTCAGCGCGACGCGCACGCGGCCCAGCCGGTGCGGGATTAGGCGCGGAAACGACGAAGAAACAGGATGCGAAGATCTTGAGAGAGTTGGCGCAGTTGGATAGGGAGAATCATAGGGATGTTAATATACCCGTTACCGGGGGCGGGAGGGGAAGGGAGGGGGGAAGAGGTATGTGAATTTCTTGGGAGAGAGGGGGAGGAGCATAGAATAGAACAGAGTCATGAAGCTGGAGATCTGTACACATGTGCAAACACTAATGTAAATCTAAAACAGGAAACCAATCCAAACTCACCCCCTCCGTCCGCAAAATCCTCGCCTCGCAAAAAACATTCGCAAACCATCTCTCCGATTTCGAAGCCCTCTCTTCTCTTCCCACTTCCACACCCATCACCCAGCAACCCACCCCTACCCTCTCTACCCCCAAAGTCCCTCCCGCCCCCGGCTTCACCAGCACCGGAAAACGCAGCCACAAGAGAAAAGAACCGCTCCCCCCCGGCATCGAACCCCCCAAGCGCAGCCACAAAAAAAAAGATCCCAACGCCCCCGCGATTTCGACTCCCTTACGCACGATGAGCACACCGATTATCAAATCCGAAGCAGAAACCACGGTTTCCGCACCCGCGGTATCGACACAGACAGAAGCCACATTCGCGCCGTTTCTGTGCTCGCTGCCGCCCCCGAAACCGCACCCGAGAGATACCGATCCGTTGCTTGTTTCGCGCGTGCCGAATCTGCCGAGTGTGCAGGAGATGCAGAGGTTGTTGGAGGTGCCGCCGTTGAGTTACATGGAGGCGAGAGGCGGCTGGTCAGATGAGGATCGGAGGAAACCTGGGAGAGTGTTCTGTGAGGTGTGTGGCTATTGGGGGAGAGTGAAGTGTATGAGGTGTGGAGGGAGGGTGTGTGCGTTGGAATGTCTGGGGACTCATAAGGAAGAGTGTTTTAATAGGTATGGTGCTTAGGGGAGATTTAGACAGGGTGAAAAGACGTGGAGGGGCGGGAGGTGAGAAGTGCTGGATTGCTTGGGGTTGGTCTTTTGGGTCTAGATAGGTAGGTAAGTTAACGGGATGAATGATCACCTTAATGGGTATCTTCAAGATTGTACGTGTGTATATTTAGTTTCTATATTGGGATACCCAGGGAAAATGGAAATGAGAGGAAGTCAGGAGTTTAAGCATTGAGTGTCGAGTATCTTTGAGTACAGAGATTCAGAGATTCCAATCGGTATTGGAAATCATGTGGAGGATGATGGTAGAATATGTATAATCTTGCTAGCTCGCAGTTCACCTATTCGCGTCTTCACCAATCCATCCACCCTACCAACCCAAATCTACCGTCTCCTTCCCACACCCCCTCCTCCTCCCTCTGCCCTCTCCGCCAACGCCACAACCTCCCCAATCCCACTCGCCTCCTGCTCATCCTCCAACGCCACAATCTCCTCTCTACAATCCCACCACTTCTCTTCACTCATCTCAAACGCCTTCGTCTTGATCTCCTTGACACTGAGGGTTTCAGGCTGGATTCCCTTCCAGCGAAGTCCCGTCATCAACGCTTCTTGCCACTCATTACCCGTGCGCTGGAAGAAATCGCGACGGCTTTCAAACGGACGAGGATGCGGGAGATGATCGTCCGGAATGGTAGTCGAGGTATCAGGTGTATCGTCGAAGGATTCGGGCGCAGACGTAGTGGGGGATGAATCGGGGAGTTCCGAGGAAAGAGAGTCCTTCTCTTTGCGCTTGGATTTGCGCGTGCTTTCGGTGTGCAGATGTTTTTTATCGTCCATTTTGACATCGCCATCTTCGTCGGCATCTTCCTCCTCGTCGTCTTCGTCGTCGTCGTCATCATCTTCTTCGTCGTCTTCGCTGTCTTCCTCGCTGCCAAGCCAGTTCTCGGGCTCTCGTCTAAATATCTCTTTTACGCCATCCATTTTGCCTAGATCAACCGCGTACATTTCATCAAACGTAAATTCGCGATCGCCTTTCTCATAGGTACCTCCGTAGATATAGAGAACATCATCCTGCACGGCCAATTGTGCATTAAATCTGACGTGGGGGAATTCCATGAGAATCTGCTTAGCGGGTAAGGCATCCGCATCTTCATCTTCAGGTTTGCTTGTGTCAATCTCCATATCATCTGCATCGGCTAGCGATTTTCCCGTCTCGAGCGCAGCGAGATTACGTAGGAGTTCTTCTTCGTTCGCTTGACCTCTTCCTCTTCTTCCTCCTCCTCGCTCGTTTCCGTTGTTTTTCTTTTGAGCTCGTGGCTTACGTAGGGCAAGGGGAAAATAACGATTTCGCTCAATGTTCCATGCGAATAGTGTATTGAAAAATTCGCTATCGATTCCCTCCTCGGATTCCTCAACATCGTGCACGCCGCCAAATTGAATACCGCGCCCTTTGTGATAAGCCATTGTAGCGCCTGCACGTGGAGGATTCGGGGTGTTGGCTGGTTTTTTCCTGCGTTCCCAACGCACGGTGGGGGGAGCGGCGGTCGATGTATCGGCGGGTTGAGTAATGCGGAGGTAGAAACAGTCTTGATGGATCATGGGTTTGAGCACGTTGCGCATGGCCATTCCACCGCCTTTCATCTGTTTTCCTGAGACGTTTGTTTTGACACGGGAATAGCCTCCGTACAACACGGCGCCATTCTCGTGCGGGAGAAAGGTGAAGGAGGATCGGGCGTCGGGTTTCTGAGTCACGGGGGGAAGAACGGGATTGTGCCAGACGAAGTTGGAAGTATCGTAGATCCAGAGGTCGGAAAGATATTTGGTCGCCTGCGATGTGTCTTGGAAACCGCCAAATAGGATAATGTAGTTTTTGTAGTAGGTCATGCGGTGACCGCTACGAGCGGGGGGAGATTTGCCTTTGGTTTCTAAACGTGTCCATTCACGTTCAGAGGGATTGAGATGCCAGAAATCCTGTGTGTTGTTAATATATATCCATCATCTGTATACTAGTTCTCAAGTCTGAAAGTATGATGTATAACGATGTGGCGTGAAAGAACTCACATTGTAATGATAGAAAGTTCCTTGTTTGGGACTGGAAAACTCCCCTCCAAACATATATATCCCTCCTGCATTTCCACCTCTACACCACGCATGTCCAGACCTTGGTAACGGAGCGTTCGGGCTAGTCACTACGTGCCACTCATCCTTATTAACCGCATATACATACAGGTCATTGAAGAAAGTCGCCAAAGCGCCGTTGAAATACTCGCCCCCGAATAAAAATAGTTCATTCGCATTATTAGGACTAGCGATGAGAGTCGAAGAAGCTCTTGGTTTTGGAGGCTCACAAACCATTTCTGTGATCTTCAAGAAAGATTCTTGAGCTTTAGCATACTCGGCAAGAACAGAATCAAGATCGATGGATTCATTGTCACTGTCGTCGGCGGATTTGGATTTTTGAGCTTTAGTCTTTTCTTTTTTGTCGGCCTTTTTCTCTTGTTTTTGTTTCTTTTCCGCAAGCTTCTTCTTTTTGTCTTCGGATTTGGATTTCTTGTCTTTAGCCATCTTGAAGAACAGATCAGAAAGTCAATAGGGAATGGGTACAGGTATCACGTGACTGGAGAGAAGAGAGTCAGCGATTCTGTAGAGGTAGTGCGTAGAGGTAGCTCAGATGATTTGGGATGTTATAAATCCTCTAATGGCTTCATATGTAAGTTCTGAGGATCTTTGAAACCGTATGTATGATCCTATATGTATGTGGTATCATGTAACCACTGGGCAGTGAATGGAAGATTTTGCAAGTACGGGACCCATAAAAAATGAACTTTCATTTTCTCAATCAATTGAATGATATTGAGCAACCAAAACCATGATACTACAAATTGTACTCTTTCCTTCATCTCAAATGCATCTATCATTACTATATAGGTAAAGAGAGGTATTGAATATCACATACCTTTAAGCTTTTCCCTACTCTCCCAAGGTTATTCCAATCCAGTCTTTCTTCTTTGTTGTAGATGTTTATTTATTTCTTGGTGGGGTGGATTGTGTGATAGTAGTGCAGGCGTGTTAATGTGCAGAAAGCAAGCTCGCAAGCAATCCAGCAATCCAGCAATCCAGCAATCCACCCTTGAAGGCCGACCTGGCCCCACGTTTGCATGGCTTCCCCTCCTGGAGTTCCCCAAATAGACAGGTGCGTGAATACTCGAGTACTAGGTAGGTATATATAGAGATTATATCTTCACACAACACACATGTGAAATTCTCAACTCGATAAAATTCGCTGCATATAAAAGCGGTAATCCTCCTTGATATTCTTCAAGTATCATACATGGATAGGTGTACACTCTCACTCTTTTCCACCATCCGTTGCTTATCTTTCTTTGAGCTTGAGATATCATAATAAGCAAAGCGCACTTCAGTCAGCGGTGTACTCATCCAACGACTTATATACTCTATTCATATTGATCCACCAGTGATCTTTTTGTACCCTTCAATTTATAGAATTGCCTTTGCTTGAGATACTTCTTATGCTCAACCTCAACAAGCAACTCTTCAAATTGTTAAGGACAACACCAGCCTCAAAACTACCTAGCAAAATGTCCTTATCTCAGCTTGTGGATTCAAAAACACATTTGATACCTGGTAAGATATTATCTTTGTTTTGATTTCTCTATATTTTGAAAACACTTATATATTCATGCTTTCATATCTGTCATGGCCAAGTTGTTCTCATCTGCTCAAATTGGGCTCAATCTACAAACAATACATGACTTGTCTTGTTTCTTATCTGAATCTATCATTGTTCTCTACTTAGCAGTACGAATCAAGAATCTTAAACTAACATATCCCTAGGAAAACTAAAAGTTTCGGAACTATTTTTCGAGGTTCCTTTGGAGTGAGTAATGTTCCCAGAGAATCTCTCATAATCCCAGCAAACAGCCAGGAGCATCTGCTTTGAAAAATAAGACTCTAACACCAGCCTACCTCTCTAGCTACTCTAATGAATCAAAAGGCTCAATTCGAATATTCGCACGCAGTGTTATCAAGTATGAGAGCCCAGCTACAAAACCCACCGAAGAAGAAACCCGGAAGTCTTCCCAAAAGCCCTGGTTTGTTTACCTCCAAGGTGGACCAGGTTTTGGATGCAGACCACCTCAAGATTCTCCAATTACCAATGTAGTTCTCGATAAAGGCTATCAAATGTTATATGTTGATCAGCGGGGAACTGGATTGAGTAATCCTATTTCAGCTGGTACTTTGGCTTTGCAGGGAGATGCTCAACGTCAAGCCGATTATCTTAAGCATTTCAGAGCTGATAATATCGTGAGGGATTGTGAGGCTATAAGAAAGATACTCACTGATGATTATCCTGAAGAACTCAAAAAGTGTGTAATTTTCTTCATTCTCTTCCGAGTTGTCAATTTCAATTGTTCTTTCATGATAAAACATTTCCTTCTTCCCGTCCCTTCTCAGAACTTTGTCTCTCGACATAGACGAAGTTCACTTCTCATTCAATTGATTCCATGTTATTGAAATCCAGAGTGAATACCCGCTAATATCATACAGATGGTCCGTGTTCGGCCAATCATTTGGTGGTTTCTGCATCCTCACATATCTCTCTTTTCACCACCAAGGTCTACGTGAAGTTTTCACCAGCGGCGGTCTTGCCCCAGTTGGTCACTCAGCCGATCGAGTCTATCGTGCTACCTTTCAAAAAGTAATTGAGAGGAACCGAGCCTACTATCAAAAATTTCCCGAAGATGTTGCTGTTGTTCAAGGTCTGGCAATTCACATCAGCGCTAAGAATGGACTTCAAATGCCATCTGGTGGTACATTGACTGTGAGAATGTTCTTAACTATGGGTATTCAATTTGGGTTCCATGGAGGTTTGGATCTGGTTCATGATATTGTGTTAAGGATGAGTTCGGATTTGGATCAGTATTCGTTCGTTACTAAACCTACTCTTAAGGCTATTGAGGATATAGTCAGGTGAGCCGTTTTCAGTTTTCCCTTTCAAACTTCCAGCAATCACCAAAGTTCTCACCGTTCACAAATTTCCCCTTGATAAATGGCCATTAACATTCCCATAGTATGGATAGCAATGTGATCTACGCTATCCTGCACGAATCCATCTATTGCGAAGGCAAAGCGTCAGACTGGGCCGCCGACCGAGTAAGTTCTCTTCCATCACCTCTATCACCATCCATCTAATCCCTAACTTCCTTGCCACAGGTAGGAAGATCCCTTTCTGAATTCAAATGGCTCACCGGGCGTCCCCGTTCCCCTTCCTCCCTAATCAGCGAGCCGCTCTTCTTCTCCGGTGAAATGATTTATCCCTTCATGTTCGAAACCTCCCCCGAACTTTCCGCCATCTATCCAGCCGCCAAGATCCTAGCCGAATACACAGAATGGCCTCCTCTCTACGACGAATGGCAATTGGCACGAAATGAAGTCCCCATGTATTCAGCTACGTATGTGGATGACATGTATGTGGATTTTGGGCTCGCGCAGGAAACAGTTAGATTGGTGAGGGGATGTAAACAGTGGGTTACTAATGTGATGTATCATGATGCTGTGAGGAGTAAGACTGAAGAAATGATGGCGGAACTCTTTGCGCTGAGAGATGACGTTATTGATTAGTAGAAGGAGAGAGAGAGAGAGCGTAGGGAGAGAAGGAAAGGGGAGGGAAAAGAAGAAGAAAAGAAATGATAGAATAGGAAGCGAGCATTTATAATCCGAGGAATGTCGATGCTACGAGTACAGCTCAACACGCATCTGAATCCCATCCATCAACGTTGAGCTTCACGTTCGGTACAAACAATACCTTTAGACTTACCTACCCAGTAAGTATCTGGAAAATGTCTCATCTCTTCTTTGCTTATCTCTTACCTAGGTATCAAAACTAAAGGATTAAATCAATCGTATTTGCGTTTCAGCCCCCGGTGACTTGATTTTTGATTTTGATTTCGATTTTGTATTTAGTTCTTTGAGGTTTAAGATTTTAAAGGGTGACTGACTAACTCCAGAGTCTAGAACACCAGCGGGTGTACGGACTCACGGGACAGTACGAAAATAAACTTGTGAATATCTTCTGATATATTGAATCATTCATTTTATGAATTATTATAATTCTTGAATAGGAATTAAACAATCAAAATACATATTCTGATATCAAAAAATTGAAGACTGAATTTATGGAAAATATTGAAAATTGGGAAGCGTCCCGTCAATCCATGCACCCACTGGTGGAAGGGTAAAATACCGATCGATGGGGTGAGGTGAGGTGAGATTTCTACTATGCATGATATCCAGGTATTCAGGTGTGTAGGTAGGTAGGTAGGTAGGTATTATCCAATATTTCGGAATCCGATTCGCACTACCACCTACATAAACAGCCTCAATATATATATCAATACAATATAATACAACATACAACTCCCGATATCCTATTCTCATTAACCTTGTTTTCCCAATTGATAAATTTACATGTATCCTATTCTATTCTGTACAAATACCACACCCATTATGAACCAACCCTCCAGCCCCCACCATCCCCTCCCTCCCGCCCTCCCCACACCCCGGAACTCCGCCATAAAATCATCGTTAACTCCCCGCTCCCAGGAAAGCGATCTCAAATCGCAACTCCAAATTCCAAACAAGCGCTGTCACATCGCTTTCCCTTTTCTTTCTCCACAAGCGCCACAGAATGCGAAATCTCCGGCATTAATGTACGATCCGTTTTTGCAAACGGCACTTGTGCATTTCCACGCGTCGTGTACGTCTTTGGGACGGAGGACGTTGGCGCAGATGGTGCAGGTGAGGGAATGGGGTGGGTTTTCTAGGGAACAGGTGGGACAGGTTGATGGAGATGGGGACGGAGATTTGGTTCTTGGCGGCGCCGGATTAGGAGGAGGTGTTTGTGATTTGGTTTTGGGGGCTATAGCGATGGGCGATCTTGTTTTGTTCGAAGGGGTATTTGAGGTGAGGGTGTTCGTCTCGAGATTTTTGCTTCTAGTTAGCTTTTCTGTCTTTGATGACCCTGGCCTATTTGGTGTCGCTTCTTCGTGCGATCCCCGTTTAACCTTTGATGCGCTATCCGGTTTGAAGTATCTTTCAATACTCTCCATCCCCCTCAACTCCTCGAACTCGCTCTTCGCATCCTCGTTATCTCTATCCTCATCTTCACAAACTTTCACCATTCCCATTCCCTTTCGATCCACAAGTCTACTTCCATCAAGATCAAGTGCATCATCTGGTTCAGGCTTGATATACATTTCGTCTTCCACATCACTTTCTGCTTCGCTGTCGGTGACTAAATCTTCGTCTTTAATGTCTGGCTCTTCTTTTTTAACTTCGAAACGAGCTAATGCAGCAGCAGCGCGAAGTTCTCGGCCTCGTTTACTACCGGCTACTTTAGGCTTGGAAAGATTTGTTTTACCTTTCTCAAGAGCGACTTTCGTAGCGACATCTTCTCCCACTGCGGTTGTTCGAATCAGTACTGTGCTTCGAGATAGAAGAGGAGATGTAACATGGGTATGAGATAGATGCCAGACTTACAAGCAACTCCATTAACACCAAATTTCTTCCTAATTCTCCTCTCTTTCTGCTCCTTATACGTGATCTTTGGTTTTGCCTTTCTCTTCTTCCCTCCCCCTCTCGACTTAAAAGTTCCACCACATAAATGTTCCGGCAATACCTCTCCCTCACCCAATTGATCTCCCATAAACGCACCATCTTTCAATAGTACACCTTGTCCCCAAAGTCCATCACCCGTATATCCCCTCTCCCAAAGCCCCTTCATCTCCGCCGAATATTCATTTCTAACTTTCCAGAATGCCCCAGAATGATTCATTTGTTTACAATGCGCCAACTCATGCATCATAACCATCTGAACAAATTTGAACGGCAGCCATCTGCCTGTTGAAGGCGATTTGAGTACAAGTTGTATGACTTCTCCGTTATTGAAATTGCGACCTGCATATTTGATTAGTATATCCGACATAAGTTGAGATGGGGAACATACCCCAGAATTCCAAGTTGGGCGGATACTCTTCTAGTGATGCGACAGCGAGATGATGTTTATTCATTATGGGGGTACATTGTGCAGCAATTCGTTCCAGAAATTCTTGAGATTCAGATTGATCTTCACCAGAGAGGGGTTTGATGAAGACGATGTTATTATTTGGTTGTGTTCTTTTGGCATTAATTCTCTTCCAACCTAAAGGCATGATGTCGATTATTGAAAAGAGGGAATGAAGGTAGTATTTGGACCAGCAAATTAACGTCTTCTTATGTATATTGGGGGGGGGGGAGATTAAGGTAGGTACCTAGGTAGGTAGTGATAGAAAGAACCTGATGTGATGAGGAGGCGATAACGATAAGGCTTCACGTGTGAAAAGAACGCGCTCTGAGCGCCTTATCACGTGCTGCATTACTCAAAGACAGTGCTTGGTCCATATCTGCATGACTGACGCAAGCTCTATGTAACCAAAAAAAGCGGTCGAAAATAAATACCATCTTGAAGACTTCAATAATTTGAATTTCTTCTCAATATTATATCAAATATTTACAGTCTTGATTATCAATATGAAAAAAGCTCAAATTTTTGTTTGCTCTTTTCAAATTCTAATATCAGATTTGGAATAAATTTATGATCTATTAAAGGAGTCCTTTAAAAGGGTACTCAATTCCCGCCTCTTATTTCGGTTACGTAGAGACAAGTTCCTTTTTAGTTTCAGATTTTTTTCGGGGCAGAGTTATCTCCCCGACCTTGACCTCTCATGGCCAAGGTATTACTATAAACTTCATGCCATCTTTGTATGCCGAGGCCCGGATTGGGGGTTCAATGGTGTATATTTCCCCAAGTAGTTATTGATAAATCAATTATATAAATGATTGAATGCGGGGAGCTTGGCAAGAGCCGCTCCGAAATACATGACAATTAGCTTGATGTTAGAGTGGTAAGCGGTCGTATGTTCCACATTAATAGACCCCATATGTAGTTGTCTGTTTCTTCTATATATACTACTATTTCCTTTGAGATGTGCTTTCCTTCCATATGCTCAGTCCTCCTCCTTTAAGTGTTCTTGTTATATTCTTCCTATAATTTACTTCGATACCATATACCATCTCATAAACCAGACCAAAGTCATCCTGATAGTTTTCTCTATGATGCCAGCATCCGCCCAAACCAAGAAACCTTTCCATGTCGCTATTTGCGGTATGTTTCAACCTAAAAATCAAAGTAAACTTCACCTAACAACCATTCAGGCGGAGGTATCGGTGGATTATGTATGGCAATTGGTCTCATAAAACAAAACATTCCATGCATATTATATGAAGCCGCGCCTGCATTTGCGGAAATTGTATGGTCACACGTTTCCTTTTATAAATTACTCTGATGCTCATATTCCACAGGGTGCAGGAGTATCATTCGGGCCCAATTCCATCAGAGCAATGGAATTGATACATCCAGCTATCAAACAGGGCTTTAATAATTGCGCAACCTACAATGGATCACCAGAAGAAAGAGATGTCTGGTTTGATTTCCGGATAGGCACGTCCGAAGAAGGCTGGAAAGACTTCAAAACAGGAAAACCACCAGTTAAAGAAGGTGATTTCCTGGCTAAAGTTGTGGCGGAAGGTTATGGACAAGCTTCTGTTCACAGAGCTCACTTTCTTGATGAATTGGTTAAATTGGTTCCAACGGAAATCGCACAATTTGGAAAAAGAGTTGAGAAGGTAGAGGAGAAGGGAAGCAGGCTATTGATGACTTTCCAGGATGGAACGACGGCAGAGGCGGATGCGGTAATTGGGTGTGATGGTATTAAATCGAGGACGAGACATATGGTTCTTGGTGATGATCATGAAGCCACTTCACCGGTCTTTAGTGGGAAGTATGCATATAGAGGTCTGATTCCTATGGAAAAGGCGATTGGAGCTGTTGGAGAATATTTAGCCAAGAACAGTCAAATGTATCTGGGCCATAAGAGTCACGTAAGAATTCTTCCCTCATCTGATTCAACAAACACTGATATCCCTTCAGATCTTAACATTCCCCATTCAGAAAGGCGCCACAATGAATGTCGTAGCTTTTCAAACGCAACCTGATGGAAAATGGGAAAATGAAAAATGGGTCATCCCAATGAAAGAGTCAGATATGTTCTCTGATTTTGAAGGCTGGGGTAAAGATGCAAAACAAATTTTATCGCTTATGGAAAAACCAGACGTCTGGGCTCTCTTCGATCACCCTCCTGCTCCAACTTACTATAAAGGTAGGCTTGTCCTCTTGGGTGACGCAGCTCATGCAAGTACTCCCCATCAAGGAGCAGGTGCAGGGCAAGCTATCGAAGATGCTTTTGTTTTGAGTAATTTACTCGGAGACTGTAAAGAAGTGGGTGACATTGAAGGGGCGTTTAGAGCGTACGACGAGATCAGGAGGCCGAGAAGTCAAAAAGTAGTAAAGACGAGTAGAGAGGCAGCGGAACTTTACGAATTCGAAAATGAGGAGGATGTGGGGAGTAATGGCGCAGATGTGAATATTGAGAGCATGAAGAAGAAATTGGTGGAGAGGTGCAAGTGGATTTGGAATGAAGATCTAGGGGCGCAGCTGGATAGTGCTAGGAGGGTTATGCGAACAGGAGGCGACAGGGTGAATCTTTAAACGGTGAGAGGGATTTGGAATGTATGTTGTTCAACAACCTATATGAGGGCTATGGGACAAGATGTAAACTATTCTCTATTTTTGTTGTTGCGTGGTTTTGAAAGCGCACCTAGGAGAAGTGCAAATAATTATCTAGGTATTGGAAGATTTATGTTAAAGCAGTCACTCATACACCTTAACATTTGTGACCTCAGTATATTCAATCAGCGTATCGTACGATTCTTCTTACCAATTTTTTGGTGGGGAAGTTCTGAAACAATTTACAGCTGTGTTCTTCGCTTCAATCGATTTCTTATCTCACTTTGATCAACACCTCCTGCAAGTTTTTCTACACGGGATGATACCATGTATCTGACTCCGGGGACTTAAAAGTCTAGC